AGCACATGCCTTTTATTCCAGCACTCAGGAGGCAGAGGCAGGCAGATCTCCGTGAGTTTGAGGCCATCCCTGTAGAGTTCCAGGCCAGTCAGGGCTATATTGTGAGATTCTATCTAAAAAAAATTTTTTTTCTGCTTATACTTGTCAGCATTCCATTTCTAGTGTTTTTCTATTGTTATTTTTGGTCCTGGGGATTGAATCCAGGCCGCTGAGTCCTCTAAACGAGCAATTCTATCTTCAAACTACACCCCAGCCTGTTATTCCTTTTATTTAAAAAGTATGTATAGCAAGGGGTTTTGGTGCACACCTTTAGTCCAGTACTCTGGAGGCAGAGGCAGGCAGATCTCTGTGAGACTGAGCTTAGCTCGGTCTGCATAGCAAGTTCAGACCATCTGGGGCTACAAGGAGACCCTGTCTCAAAAAATCAAACCAAGCCAACTAAACAAAATACAAACTATGTATGTGCTGGACTTGACTGTGCATGCGGAGGACCCCAGCACTTGGAATGCACAGGCAAGAAGACCATGATTTCAAGACTGGCCCGGATTACATAAAGGTGGACAGGTGAAATGGCTCAGCGACTGCAGAGGGCCTGGGTTCGGTTTCCAGCACCCACATGCAACTAACAACCATCTGCAATTCAAGTTCCAGGGGAGTCTGATGCCCTCTTCTGACCTCCACAGGCATTGCATGACATGGGTGCACTTACACACATGCAGACAAAACACTCATACACATAAAATAAAAATAATAAAATATTTTTTAAAAGCTTAAGGCTAGCCTGGGTACACACTTGGACCTTGTCTCTAAAAGCAAAATCAAAAACAAAGAAAAAAGGTCTTTCCATAGATGAGACTTGTCTGTTTTGCAGGTGTATTACTCACTTTTCTGTTGCTGTGACAGAAACACCGACCCAAGCAATTTATAGAAGGAAAAGTTTATTTGAGCTTACGGTTCCAGGGGAATTACAGCCCACTGAGGTGGGGAGGCATGGTGACTGGAGGTGGCTGGAGCAGGAGCAGCAGAAGCTAAGCTCTCACATCATCACGCAGGCACAGGAAGCGAGAGGGGACTGGAGATCCGGCAAGGCTTAAGAACTCTCTAAGCCCACCCCCAGTGACTACTTCCTCCAGGATAGCCCCACCTCTGAAACCTTCCAAAACAGCACCATCATCTGGGGACAAAATGTCCAAACACTTGGAGCCTATGGGGGACATTTTCATTCAAACCATCACAGCAAGCCAGGGATCACACACTAATAAAGCACTTAGCATGCAAGAGGCCCATGGTACTATCCCCAAGCAGGAGGAAAAATGATTTTTTTAAAGCTAGTTTTATTGGTCTTTTAAACAATCAGTTTTTGGTCTGGGGAGATGACTCGGCCAGTAAAGTGCTTGCCATGTAAGGACCCGAGTTCAGTCCCCAGCACGCAGGTAAAACCCAGCGTGCACCTGTAGACCCAGTGCCGGGAGGAAGATCCCAGGGGCTAATTAATTTAATTTGCCAGTGTAGCCAGATTAAAGAGCTTCAGGTTCAAGGGACCCTGCCTCAAAAAATGAGGTATAGAGGGAATTGAAGAAGACATCCAGAGTTGACCTCTGGTTATTGAGGGATGGTTACATTCAAACCATTCCCAATGAGATGGCATGGCTTGGCACAGGCTACACAAGGCAGTGGGTCCTCAGTACAGGGTGTGGTGAGGTGCGACTGACTCCCAAGAGCCAGGGTGTGATCTGATTGGTCTTGACCAGGTTCACCGTGCTTAAAGGTGAAACCCTGATGGGAGGGGGTGAACCCCATACCCTGCAGACCAGAGGAGAGGTGGGACAGCCTCCTTGGGTGAGACGGCAACCCAGCTGTGGCAAGGGTTGGGTGACAGAGGACAAAGGGAAGGACACATGTGGCTGACCTGCCATGGATGTGGAGCCTTCTCTGAGGAGGGGACCTAGGGGGTAGGGGTGGGCTTAAGGGAAAGAAGGCCAAGGTCAGCCTTCTGTTGAATTTGAAAAGCCTTGTGGGGCCGAGTCTCAGGCCACATGTTACACGGGCAGAGAATATGGCTCAATCAGGACTGTCACCTGTATGCCCCAAACCTAGACCGTTAAAGAGTCAAAATTCAGGGGCTGGAGAGACGGTTCAGCGGTTGTGAGCACTGACTGCTCTTGCAGAGGACCCGGGTTCGATTCCCAGCACCCACATGGTGGCTATGAGCCGTCCTTAACTCCAGTTCCAGGGGAATCCGAAGCCCTCTTCTGACCTCCACGGCATTGCACAACACGGGTGCACTCACATACATGCAGGCAACACACTCATACACATAAAATTTTAAAAAAAGAGTCAAAATTCAGGCTAGCGAAGCCCTCCTGACCTCCACGGCATTGCACAACACGGGTGCACTCACATACATGCAGGCAACACACTCATACACATAAAATTTTAAAAAAAGAGTCAAAATTCAGGCTAGGGAGACGGCTCAGTTGGTAAAATGCTTGTGTAAGCATGAGGTCTTGAGTTTGATTCCCAGAATCCACATAAAAAGCTAGACATGGTGACTGCTTGCAATCCCAGCACTGGGGAGGTGGAGCCAGGAGGATCCCCCCAGGCTCTCTGGCCAGCTAGCCCAGCCAGCTCAGCAAGCTCCAGGTCAATGAGAGGCCCTGCCTCAAAAACAAAAAACGGCAACATGGAAGGTGGACGGCTCCTGAGGGACAAAACCTGAGGCTGTTCTCTGGCTGGCAGCGTTTATTCCCCAGCAGCAGAGGGCGGTGACAGGCCACACAGCCTGGGAGGCACGGTGTTTTTTGCTATCAGGTCCTTTGCATAAAGAAGCTATTTTGCTCCTGATCAAGAGTTTGAGGATGAAGCTTCATGAGGCACACAACCCAAGTGACCCCTGGCCAGGGCAGGGTGCCAAGGTGCAGGCAGGGCACATATGGGATCAAAACTTTCCACCTGCTATTGAGTTGTAGTTCCAGTACAGTTTGACACAGTTTTGGCTGTCTAACAAACCTGGAAAGAGGGAACCTCAGCGGGGGAACTTCCTCCGTAGGACTGGCCTGTGGGCACGGCTGTGGGGAAGTCTCTTGATTGTGGACTGATGTGGGATTGATTGCTTGTGCAGCCTTCACCTGTGTGTGTACCGGCCGGAGGATGGGCATCTCTCTCCAGTTTGGGTTTGCCAAGCAAGAATCAGGGAAAGGGGCCAGGGATGTGGCTCAGCTGGTAGAGTGCTTGCCTAGCATGTATGGAGCCCTGGGCTCAGTCCCCAGTACTGCATGACATAGGTCGTGCGGCCCTTGCTTGCGATCAGCACTCTGGAGGTGGAACCAGGAGGATCCGAAGTCCAAGGTTATCCTCAGGGTAATGCAAGCCAGCGAGCCGCCACCACTTTGGCAATACTCTCTAGCAATGGGCACGGCAGTGGAAAGTTCCAGGGCCAGGTAGCCCTCCGCTCTGCATACAGGATGGCAACTCCAGGCAGCCCGACAGGTGGTATCTACCACTTCAATCGAAGAGGTCCCGAGGAGGTCCTGCCTCAGAAGCACCTTTGGGAAAAACTGGCTATGGCCCTGAGGACGCAGTTTCTAGGACAATGAGGCAGGACTGAAACAAGATCATCTCTTTTAAGAATTTCTGTAGTCCCTTCCCCTCCAAGCCTCCCTCTACCGGCCTCAGGGGAATAATGGAACAGAGAGGCCCAAGCCTGTGGCTGGAGTCCTGCCACTGAGGAAAAACAGCCCCCATCACTGAAAGGAAATTGGGCTATCCGGAACCATCAGGAAGAGGGACCTAGGACTAGGGGGGGCACGCGGTGAAATGTAGGGGGCCGGTGGGGAAAGGGGTCGGGGTGCACTTGACTGTATAACTCCATCCACTCAGCTCAGGGCCCCAACCTGAAGCGCACTGAAATCACCCGCAGAAGGCGTGTACTACAGGGACGCAGTGGGACCAGGTGCCCCAAAGTACCTGGGAAACTGAAACCTCCACCCAACACAGGGCTGGACCACTCCTCGAGCCCCGCCCTGCCCCAAGGGGCTCAGGTATGCACCGCGGAGCTTGGAAACCCGGGTGGGTGGAGGAGGAGAGAGTGGGGTGCGGCTGGCGTGGAGCTTTGTTCACGATGCTCCAGGCTCCCCGGGAGCCACGCGCCAGTCGTACGCTTCCTCATTGGGGCCGGGCTTAGGGCCCCGCCCGCCGCCATTGGCCAAACACATGGTCCCCAATTGGCCCGGACCCAGGCTCCCACCTCCTTGGCCCCAGGCAGGAGGGACGCGGGTGCGGGTGCGAGTGCCCGGCGCGTGCTGCCCCGGGGGGTCTGGCGCGCCTTCCCCTCCCTGGCTGCTCGCCCTGGGCGTGCGGTGGGCTGACGGCTCTTGGGACTGGCAAGCTGCGCACCAGAGTGGGTGGGGAGTCCCGCGTACACCGGGACCCTCTGACAGTCCCTGGAGCTGTGGGACGTCCGAATGACAGAGGGGATCTGCGCTCCGGGACTTCTCCCGGCGACGTGCAAGACGCACCAGGCACCTGCCTGGAGCACCGGGGCGCGTCAGTGACCTGAGACCTGCGCCCTGGCGGCGCGGCGGGGGGGGAGCTCTGCAGAATTCGTGCGCCAGGGGGGAGGGCGAAGCGTGGCGGGAGGGCGAGGCGAAGGGAGGAGGGCGTGAGAAAGGAGGCGGCGGCGTGGAGGAGGGTTATCTATACGTTTAAAAACCAGCCGCCTGCGCCGCGCAGGGGGAGACCCGGAGAGAGTCTGACCGCACGCGCTGGACACGAGCGCCCCACGCTTCCCGGCGCTCGCAGCCCGCCAGCCCTGGCCCTTTGGTGACACGGGGTCCTGGGGGCTCCGGACGACCAGGGGCGCGCGCCCCGGGGATTTGCTCTGCGGCGCAGTGCCATTCGCTCCTTAGAAGCGCGGCCGCCCAATCCTCGGCGTCCCGGTTTCTCTGCGCGCGCTTTTCCCGTAGCGCCTTGAGACCCAGCAGTCGGAGCCCGGGGGTGTGGATGCGGGCGCGATGGACAGCGGCGCGCTGCCCCGGTTCTTGGCCCCTTCGCCCCGCGTCCCCGGAGCCTGCACCGCTCGGAGGAGACCCGCGTCCCCGGAACTGCTGCGCTGCAGCCGGCGGCGCCGATCGGGCGCGACCGAGTCTGGGGGCGGCTCGGCGGCGGTGGCGCGGCGCAACGAGCGCGAGCGCAACCGTGTGAAGTTGGTGAACTTGGGCTTCCAGGCACTGCGGCAGCACGTGCCGCACGGCGGCGCCAGCAAGAAGCTGAGCAAGGTGGAGACGCTGCGCTCCGCGGTGGAGTACATTCGTGCGCTGCAGCGGCTGCTGGCCGAGCACGACGCGGTGCGCGCCGCCCTGGCCGGGGGGCTGCTGACCCCGGACACCCGGCCTTCCGCTGCGCGCGGGCCGCCAGCCGCCTCCCCCGCCGCCGCCGCCTCGCCCTCCTGCGCGTCCTCGTCCCCGGGCCGCGGGGGCAGCTCGGAGCCCGGCTCCCCGCGCTCCGCCTACTCCTCGGACGACAGCGGCTGCGAGGCCGAGCTGAGCCCGGCGGAGCGCGAGCTGCTGGACTTTTCCAGCTGGTTAGGGGGCTACTGAGAGCTGTCGTCCCACAAGGTAACCGACTGGGTAGGGCCTGGGGGACGAGAGGAGGGTCTCGGAGAGGGGCGCGCGGGCCAACTTTGAGCCCCGCAGGGCCGGGGGGAAGAAAGGAGGGTCCCGGAGAGGGGCGTACGGGGCAGCTTTGCGCCACGCGCACCCAGCGCAGCGGAGGCGATCACATCGATTTCGCTCACTCTTCATTTCCCTTAAACTTTTTTCAAGCCCGAGCAAGACCGGCGTTTGTTTGTCCGGGATTGCAAAACTTCCTCTCGCGGCTCCGCTGCCGGAGGGGGAGGGGGAACCTAGGGGAGGGGAGCGGCCGTAGGGCCGGGCCCGTGAGGTCCCTGTGCCGGCGGATCCCGGCCGAGTAGGGTCCTGGAGGCGGAGTGAGTTTGCATTGCAAATCGCGTCCTGGGCCGGGGTGCCGGAATGAGTCGGCGGGTGAGGAGTCCTGAGTCACCGCGGGCCGGTTCAGAGCGCGCGCCCCGCCCCCGTCGGGGCCTCAGACCGAATCGCAGCACCCACAGACTTAGACTCCAAAAGCAACCAAGCGCACGAAACTGCCTACTGCGCCCTGGGAGGTGGGGGCAGGGTCTGCTCACCACGAGTTCTGTCTCCTCTGCAGCCGCTGCCCTGGACATCCAGACACAAGCGAGTCCATCTCCTGCGTGCCTCCTAACGGACCCGCCTTCTTGGAGCCTGGGCCTAGGGGACCCGGACTGACTGCAGCCTGACCAAGTGCCAAGTGCTGATCTCTGCCTGCCAGGCCCGACATGGAATGGTAACATCCACCTCGACACCCATCAGTGGGACACTAGCGCGCGGAGATTCCTCTGGATTTTATAGTGACACAGAATCTATTTTTTATCCATTGACTTGAACTGCTGGACAGACTCTTAAATATGAAGACTTATTTTTGTACAAAGGATCCTTTGGCTTGGAGCACAATAAAGATTGTCTCTGCCCCCTCCACCCCCACTATCTGGAACTTTCCAACCTTGCCAAAGCGTGGACCAGGCAGGCCTTGAGGTGTGGCAAGGTACCAGACTGTACCCTTCCCTTCTGAATCCCAGCCTGGTGCTGATGTCTGATACAGCCTGTGTGGGAATCTGCTTTGGCAAAGTGTGCTACATAAAGGTTGTTTTCCAGGGTTTCAGTGCCTTCAGTCTACACAATCCCCAGGTGAGGCTAGGCCTGAGTGGATAGACCTGGCCCTGACTCTCCACCATTCACTTCTCTTGAGACCCACATTCCCACCTCTAGGTTGGGTGCTCAGGTGTGAGAGCCCAGTCCAGTCATCTCTCCAGAGAGACTGCACCAAAGCAATTCAGGGCCTTGAGCCAGTGGGTCAGGGCTGATCTACAGAGAAGTTGGGGGTGCTGGGCTGGAGGTGGTTTGAGGTGTGAACACCATGAGCCTTAGGTCCAGATCTCAGCTTGCTCTTACTGCCTGGGTGCCCTGGGCAGCTTGCCTAGCTTGTAAATGGTGCTGATGCTGGGCCTGTCTGTCCATAAGCTTGCAGCAGGCTCACGCTGGGCCCCTGTACTGGCTGCTGGGGGCGGTGGCCATGGTGAGGCCCTCAGGTCTCTACTCCAATTACAAGATCCTCATTGAACAAGGAAGGCTGGAAGCTTCCCAAGGAATTTCCACCCACCGCACCCTCCACCCTACCCCCCCCCCAGCCCAGGGAGCCCTGTGGTGATTGCTAGGATATTAGATATTACACAGCTCACCTTTGACCCTGGGCCTCGGCAGCTTTGAAAGTCCCAGTATGTCCAAAGCTCCCTTTTATTGCAAGGGTGTGGGAGGGGCTTAGGGAATCCCCGGGCAGCTTTAGGGTGCTGCAGACACCTCCTCCTTCAGGAGGGAGCGGTTAGGACACACAACCGTTGGAGTCCTGGAAGGCGGAAAGGCTGTGTCACAGAGCAGGTGTCTTCTATGTGCCTGTGGTGTTGGTGTAGAAGGCTGTATATGAGGCTCACTTGTCTGAGAAGCTGTGTTGATAGGGTCCTGCCTTCCTGGACCATCCTGATCCTCAGAGCCAGGGTCAAAGTTGAATCTAACTTGAGTCAAGGGTTGTCAGTTGATGAGGCTCAGCTGGGGCCAGTAGGGTTGGGCTGCAGGACCTGCCTTTGGAAGACAATGAGGGGCCTGTTGTCATGGCTACTCAGTGAGGGCTGTCCTGGGAGTCTGTTGCCAGCCACTGTCTGTTGAAGTTGAGGATCTCCTGATTTATCACCTGCATCACAGGGTGGCATTAGGGTCAGGGACACATGGCACACAGGCCTGCAAGTCTCCACAGTGATGTCATGGTATGCTCCTGTTGTATTATGGGATGTGTCCAGCATCTCAGAGCTCGGAAGACTTCATTAAGCACCTTTCTTGGTTTATAAGAGGTTGAGGCAGAAGGATCATTTTGAGTTCCAGGCCAGTGGGGGGTGGGGGGTATGTCTGGGCATATGGCTCAGTGGGTAAAGTTCTTACTGCACAGGGTGAAGACCTGAGTTTGAATCTTCAGAGCCCACATAAAAGATCGACCCACAATGTGTCTGTATGCCCAGCACTCCTATGGGAAATGGAGGCAGGAGACTGAGCGTGTGCGGGCAGCTGGCCAGTCATATAAGACAAAACAACAGAGTTCCTGTGTCAAGTAAGGTGGAGGGTGAGGAGGTGAGGGCCAACACCCCGGCTGCCCTCTGACCTCCATGCATGAATGGGCACACACGCACATGTACACACAAAGGCACTTTTCTGCCCCAGGAACTGAGAGACTGTTGGTATGCCAGACAAGTGAGTTCAACCGCAGAGAGATCCTGCCTTCTGCCATAGACAATTCTATTAGCAAGAGACACTGCCAGATCATGGGCAGCCCATGGAGACACTTTGGTTAAACTCACAGCATGCCACCCCACCCTGCTCCCTGCCTCACCTTGGCCCCCCCACGTGGTTTTGAAGCACCTCCAGACTTCATATAATTTCTTTGTCTACGGAAGCCCCAGTGCTCTTCACCCATGGTGATGAATCTGCAACCCGCCAGCCAGCAGTGCCAGCCTCTGATTCATGGAACCAGGGTTCACCCCAAGTCCACACACCAAACTTGTGGAATAGGTCTTTTAAAATATTTTATTATTTCTATTTTATGTGTGTGAGTGTATTGCCTGCATGAATGTGAGTGCATCCATGTCGTGGAATGCTGTGGAGGTCAGAGGAGGGCTTTGGATTTCCCTGGAACTGGAGTTAAAGATGGTTTGTAGCTGCCATGTGGGTGCTAGGAATCGAACCTGGGTCTTCTGCAAGAGCAGTCAGCGCTCTTAACCACTGAGCCACCTCTCCAGCCCGTGGTATAGGTCTTTTAAGCCTATTGGAAGCAGCTTGTCCAGGATACGTTATGTATGGAGTGCCTGACTGTTTCCTGCAGGTGGTGGGCAGAGGGACAGGAGAGGGGCTATGATTTGGCTCTTCGGCAGTACCCTGTTCCTCTCCTGCATCCTGCCCAAAGATACCACCTGAAGACATGAGGTATGATCGCCATATATCTAGTTATCCAAACGGGGCCACCGGGGAGAGTCGGACAACATGAGTCACCTGGGCCCTTGGTTACTGCTCTTCTGGTCAGAAAGCCCCCCGAGCTGTCACTTACCAAGAACCACTCCCCAATGATTAGGTGCCTGAAGCCACAGAACTTGACGGTGGTAACCACTGGGATTCTTACCCCATACTCTCCTTCTTCCCCTTGAATAGTTGGAACCAGTGACCCCGAGACCGTCCTGGGGAGAACACCCTCAGCAATTTAGCATTCTGGATGAACTAGCCTAGACAAGGACCCTCCTGGACAGGGCCCCTGGCCTGCCTTAGGCTCCGCTGGGGCGGGGGAAGGGGGAGAGGCAGGGCTCTGCCGGGAGGTAAGAGACGCCTATTCCAGGCAGAAGGTGATCTGGATCTGCCTGAGGAGTGGAGGCAGGGACAGCTTCTCGGAGCTCTCGACACCGCGAGGCACACCCAGCCTGCCTGATGGGGTGTGTGAGCTGTAGGCCGGGACCCTCTTTTGCTTGTGATCAATAAATGCTCTAGTTTGTTCATCGAGCCCCTCCCCTCCGACAGCCCCACTCCACTTCTCTGTTCTGTGCTATTCACTCTTGTTCCCAAGTCCCAATCTTTCTACACGGGGAAGTTGCTGATAATAAGGGTCCTTAAGGAAGGTCACTCAGGTGAAGAGTCTCATGGACCCAGGCCTTATGCACACTGAGGAGTCTTCACAGGCAGTGCCACTGTGTTAGGAATGGGGACCTGCCATGTGGAACACAGACACCCCATCTTGGAGCACGCCCTCCAATGGACACATCTTCCTGACAGCCAAGGTGTGAATTGTACAGTGGCATCGAGGGGACATGCACCGTGCCCTGGGCTGCAGTAGGGTCTGGGGCTGCGTCCAGGTTCCTGTTTCTTCAAGCTGTCTGCATAATGTTGACCTCACAGGATTACCACCTGTTCAGTAATAGGGCACCAGTAACAGGGTCCACCTACGTTGTGCAGACCAGGCCCTTGGCCAAGACTATGTTGCAAACAGTCCCTTCTCTTCCAGGGTAGCCCCTCTGAAGGCATCTCACTTTCCAGAGGGCGTCCTCCCAAGGAGGTTGAGGTAGCCGTGGCCTGCTCACTTCACTCCTTGGGAGAACCCAGCTCTCCAGGGACACAGGAGAAATCCTCACACTGGCATGACATGTGGTGTCTAGGCAAAATCCTAACCCTAACCATGGGGTCCAGGACAAAAAGAAATGCAATATCTTGAGCCTCCCCCCCTGCCCCCAAATGTTCACATGTGAAGGCCTGGTCCTCGGCTGGTGGTGTCATCGGGAGGGAGCCACCTTTAGGAGGTGGGGCCCCTGAAGGACACTGCATGCCCTCGAAGGGGTGCTGGTGCCTGGGCCCCTTTTGCTCACTTTGTTTTATGAACCCAGAAGGTAAGCAGCCTTCTTCCACCATGTGCCCCCACCACGTGTGCTCCCTCGTCACAGATTCCAGAACAACATAGCCAATGGACCGAACTCTGAAACGGAGTCTAAAACTCTGAAATTGGCCAAAATAAGCCGATTGTGACAGGAACATCAGCCTCCCCGGTGCTGGGATTACAGATGCAGGACATCTTGTCTGGCTTTTTGTGGTTTTGTTTTTGTTTTTAGCTTTTTGTTTGTTTATTTTGGAGACCAGGTCTCTCTGTTGCCCCAGCTGGCCTAGAATGCACTATGTAGACCAGGCTGGCCTTGATCTCACAGAAATCTACTTGCCTCTGCCTCCTGAGTGCTGGGATTAAAGGCGTGTGCCACCAGACCCTTGCCTGGCTTTTCATATAGGTTCTGGGGGTCTCATGTTTGTAGATCAAATACTTACAGAGTCATCTCCCCAGACCCTTGAAAATATTCTGAAAAACAATTTTACAGTACTAAACTTGTAGAGACTTTCCCTCCTATCAGTCTTCCTTAAGCAACACAGCTTAACAACGTTCACGTGACATTCAGTTGTACTGGGTGATGTCAGTTATGGAAGACGGATTAACACACAGAGAGGTGTGTGTGAGTTCTGTGCAAACACCATCCTGTTCTACAGAGGGGCCTGGAGCATCCGTCTTTGCTGTCCCAGATGGTAGTTTCCTAAACAGTCACTCCCAGACATGGAAGGCTGATTGTAATAGTGTGACCTCTGCTCTTTAGCTTCTGTCTTGTGCGTGTTAGAAACGCGAAAGCAAGAACTTAGCTGG